TATCTATCTATCTATCTATCTATCTATCTATCCATCCACTGCCGGGATTGTTTGATTCTCTCTCTCTCTCTCATGCCCCCATCACCGTATTATCCAGCTGCCATTGTTGTGTCCCTTCTCTGGATGTCCTGAGTTGCTGTGTCTCTCTGCAGTTCCTAGCAGACAGGGATCTACTCCATAGATGGGCGCTCCCTGCTCCCCTCCTTGGGCAGGCTTGGCTGAGAGGTGATGGACTAAATGGGATGAGGGACTGAAATCCCACCCCCAGCTCTAGAGAGGGCCAGGCAGAGGAAGGAGGAGAGTGGGGTGGGAAGGAAGTGTGGCTCGGGAGGGCCAAAGGAGAGAAGCAGGAGAGAATGTCTGGTGTTTGGAGGTGGGACAGAAGGAAGCAGGGGTGGGGGTTTATTCCCTGGGGCTGGGGTCATGTCAGAGGACTGGAGCTGAGCAGAGGAGGGGACTGGTGGGCAGAGTTGTTCAGCAGGGAAACCTGAGGAAGCTGAGTCAGGAACTCTGGGTGGAGAATTGGCTCTGGCCATGGGAGGGGGAATCTCAGAGAACAGGGCCCAGGAGCGTTTGTGAGGTGGAGCGTTGTGAGAGGGGAGGGAGGGGATTAAGGGTTGGGGGGGTTGTTTGGGGATCTGGACTGTGTGAAGCAGAGGGAAGGAGACACCTGGGGACTAGAGTAAGAGCGTTCAGGGGGTGGAGGATGTGGCAGAGGCTGGAGTCAAAGCGCCTGAATCTCCTCTCCCTGAAACCAGACATACTCCAGTGTAACACCATGGACTTACCCTGAGATGAGTGATGGGAGAATCAGCCCCTTGAGTCCAGTGGGGTTACTCCTGATTTACACCAGGATGGGGGAGAGAGAAATCAGTTGATTGCAGTGAAGTATTTCTAACTTTTCTTACAGTTGGTGCATTTTGGTGCTGATTTATTGTGCACAGCTAAAACCGGGGCTCACATCCTCACACGAGGGACTCCAAAGCTCAGCAGAGTGCAGTCCACCCACTGGCCCTTGGGCGGAAATAAAGTGACAACGTTATCAGCACCAGTATTTAGTTCTCAGTTAGGCGCGTCAGACTTTGAAGTGGTTGGATTCGCGCCAAACAGATTGCACTGTGCATGTGCCTGGCGAGAGGAGGAGCTGGTTGCAAGCTGTTTCCAACTCGCAGCCCCATAGCTGCTGAAAGGAGAATGTTCTGGCCAACAAACCCAGGCCCTGTGAGTTAAAATCTCACTCTGGACAGAAATCTGTGACTAAAAGCAGGTGACATCTGCCTCTGTTGAAGGGTTTCTAATCTTGGGGAACTGTCCCTTGAGCACAGCCGAATATTGAGAAGGTGCTGAAACTATTTTTGAAATGAAAATAAATAACCCATGCACACGCTCACTGGGAGGCAGGATTATTGGCGGTGGAAGAGTTGGTGGGAAAGGGAGAGAGGAGTTTTGGGGGCCTTGAGAGGAGGGGTGATTATGGGAAGGAGGATAAATGAGGAGGGTGGATAGGAGATGTGTTGCGTGTGAGGAGATGGAGAGGCGTTGGGCACTGGGAAGGGGAACATGAGGGTGAGTGACAGCAGCCTGGGGAAAATGGGGACAGGGACACTTGACAATCCCACATTCCCATCCCATTTCTTTGCCGGTACCTGGGGGTTTCCAACCTATGTATGGAGGTCCAATCCTCCCTGCTACCCTCATGTGATCTTGGGGGCTTTGTCCTCTTCTGGGGGGTTAATCTGTCTCCCCAATCCCTTCCCCATGTGTGCTGGGTCTAGGGCAGCACCACCCCTTGGGGTGTGAAGCTGAGAAGAGGCACATGTGGAGCGTGCACCAACACCACCATTAAACCCTGCTGGCACTGGGGTGGCTGGTACAAGTGCAGCAGTTCACACCTCTCTGAGCACTTGTTTCAGGCTGTACCATCTCCTGGATGGATTCTCACTCAGCTCAGAATAGCTCATTAAGATGAACAGGCCATTTCACTGAGCCTCCTATGTGGCAGATGGATGCATCCAGTTTTGTGCTGCACTTATGGAGAGGTTCTGGGGGTGGATGTGAGGGGAACCCAGACAGGCACAGAATACAGCTCCTGACCAGAAAAAACATGGTGGTTCTGAAAAGAGCCTTTTGCTTCTCTCGTCATCCATATCCACTGCTATCTACAGTGGATGCCCAATGGGCGTCCCCTGGGGTTTGTAGAAATAAATATGTGTTTGCTGCACAGACATGTGACCTACAATAGCTAAGAGCCCAGTGGCACCAGAACCTCAGCCGGCCTGGAATAGCCTGTTCCTTCATTAACAAATCACATAATTAGCTCTGGGGGAGCAGAGATTCTTTTTCTCCTGCTTTGCAGCAGCAGCTCCTGGGATGCAGCCATGAGAGGAACCCACAGCTCATGCTGCCCCAGCTGCTTGAAGTTGGTACCTAGAGGAAAAGACTAAAAACTAAGGGCCAAGTCCTGAGATGGTGTAAATTGATACAGTTTCACTGTGTTCAGCAAGCTAGGGCTATTTACATCAATGGTGAATCCGACCCATTAACATCCAGGGAGCTACTTCAATTTACACCAGGTGAGGATCTGGCCCATGACACAGGTTCAAATTCATATTCTTTGCCCGTGTAACTGAACTGAAGATGAGTCAAAAATTCCTAACCTGTCTGCACATTCCTAGCACTTTGTCCTTTAGGATTAATTACAAGTGTAACTTCTAATGGTGATGGAGCAATTCATTCCCACTGGGGACAGAACTTGGGAGGAAATCACCATTGCTAAGATTTTCTCAATCTGATCTTCAGCTCCTATGAATAGGATGAATGGCCCAACTTTTCTTTCTTCCTTTCTTCCTTCCTTTCTCTGCAATTTTTTTCTGACAGTAGGCAATAGTAAATCAAAAGACTCCTTTGGCCTCTCAGAGTTGGTAAGACAACTCCCACCTGTTTATGCTCTCTGTATGTGTGTATATATATCTCCTCAATATTTATTCCACTCTGTATGCATCCGAAGAAGTGGGCTGTAGTCCACGAAAGCTTATGCTCTAATAAATTTGTTAGTCTCTCAGGTGCCACAAGTACTCCTGTTCTTTTTACGGATACAGACTAACACGGCTGCTACTCTGATTCCCACTGGGGACAGAGCTTGGGAGGAAATCACCATTGCTAAGATTTTCTCTATCTGATCTTCAACTCCTATGAATGGGATGAATGGTCCAACTTATACTGGCACTAGAAAAGGTTCAGAAAAGGGCAACTAAAATGATTAGGGGTTTGGAACGGGTCCCATATGAGGAGAGATTAAAGAAAAGAGGAGACTAAGGGGGGATATGATAGCGGTATATAAAATCATGAGTGATGTTGAGAAATTGGATAAGGAAAAGTTATTTACTTAGTCCCATAATACAAAAACTAGGGGTCACTAAATGAAATTAATGGGCAGCAGGTTTAAAACAAATAAAAGGAAGTTCTTCTTTATGCAGCGCACAGTCAACTTGTGGAACTCCTTCCCTGAGGAGGTTGTGAAGGCTAGGACTATAACAGCGTTTAAAAGAGAACTGGATAAATTCATGGAGGTTAAGTCCATTAATGGCTATTAGCCAGGATGCGTAAGGAATGGTGTCCCTAGCCTCTGTTTGTCAGAGGGTGGAGATGGATGGCAGGAGAGAGATCACTTGATCATTGCGTGTTAGGTTCACTCCCTCTGGGGCACTTGGCATTGGCCACTGTCGGTAGACAGGACACTGGGCTAGATGGACCTTTGGTCTGACCCGGTTCGGCCATTCTTATGTTCTTATGTTATAACTTTTCTTTCTTCCTTCCTTTCTCTGCAATTTTTTTCTTTTTTTTTCTGACAGTAGATAATAGTAAAACAAAAGACTCCTTTGGCTGCAGATGCAATGCTGCATGGTGTTTTTAACATGTTGAATTCACTTTGGTTGCAGGTATGTCAGAGAGAGTGAATAGCTGTGAAGGGTCAGCCTCCTACATGGTGACAATTGGTGTCATTCTACTGAAGGCAATGGACCAGATTCCCAGCTAGCTTAAATAGCCATTGCTTCACTGAAACCAATGGGGCCAGATCCCCAGCTGGTGTGAATAGGTCATAGCTCCATAGGAGTCAATGGGGTCAGATCCCCAGATAATGTAAATCACCGTAGCTCCATTGAAGGCAATGGAGTTGCACTAATTTACACCAGCTGAGCATTTGGCCCATTATCAAGACATTGAATTGGTGTTAAAGTTTCTATCTTGAGTGTCCTGGTCGCCACCAAGCTCAGACCCTGCCGGTTCATTGTATGGCTCTCCAGGGCCCACACACAGAGACAGGAAATCCATCCATAGGCAGAGCTGACTTGGGACATTTCTGCTCAGAGCCCTGAAGGTGATGGGAGAGCATTCCTGCTGTATTTTCAGCTGTGATGTGACCATGGGTAGCTGGCACTACCTCCTCCAGGGGTGGTGAGCCAATGGGTATTGTCCCTATGTGTTGGATTCTCCGGCCTGCGCTGTACAGGAGGGCAGATGAGAGGTGACTTGGTTACAGTAAAAGTACCTTCCTGGGGAGAAAATATCTAGTACTAAATGGCTCTTTAAGCTAGCAGAGAAAGGAAGATCAAGAACCAATGGCTGGAAGCTGAAGCCAGACAGTCAAATAAGAAATTCGGCATCAATGTTTACCAGTGAGGGTGATCAACCACTGGGACAAATTCCCAAAGGAAGTCTCCATCACTTGATGTCTTCCAATCCAGACTGGAGGCCCTTCGGGAAGATGCTTTAGCTACACACAAGTTATTTGGCTCAATACAGGGGGAACCAGATATCATTTAATGGCCAGTGATATACAGGTCAGACAGGAGGCTCTAATCAAAAGGTCCTTTCTAGTCTTAAAACCTATGAAGCTCCAAGTCTGTTTACACAGGTCCTGGAATGCAGCTGTTTGACTCCTAATTTGCATCTAATGTTTAACTCCTATTTGTTTTTTGTCTTTTCTATCACATCTGAAAGAGATGTCAGGATGTCAGATCTTGGGATTTGTGTGGCAGATTATTTGATAAGAGCTTTAAACTACAAAGTGTAAATGCAATGACAAGAAAGGGTAGGTTGCACAGAACTCAGTCTCCATGTGCTGATTGCCATGGTTTGGCTGCCTAATGAGCAGCTCAAAAGATTCACTGGAGTTTTATTCATCCAAAAGGAATTTGAAGATAAAACAGGAACCAAGGGAAGAAAAACAAATCTGGTTTCTGTGAGACAAGACAAGTGTCATCTCTTACAACCGGATTTACCTTCAAGAGGACAATTGTAATGTGGGACCAGGACACACCCATTTGGACAGGTGCAACTGGTGACACAAAGCTGGAATAAAAAGGAGAATGATTGTGGTTCATTATGACTTGGCATGTCAAAAGAGCATGAGGGAGTTAGGAACACCATTAACCTGGGGGACCTAATTCTGACCCACTGACTCCAATGAGTGATACCGATTTACAGCAGCTGGGGATCTGGCCAATTGAGTCCAGTGGAGCTACATGTGATTCACATTAGCTACTGATTGGGGCCATTGACTCCAATGGAGCTACAGACAATTCACCCCAGCTGTGGGTCTGACCCATAAACTATAAGGCCAGAAAGGAGTATTCAGCACATTTAGTCTGACATATTGTCGGCCAGGGAACCTTTCCCATGGTTCCTGCATTGTGCCCAACTCCGCGTGTTAAAATGATAACA